TCTGATGAATTTTAAAATCATTAGATAATAATTTGCTAATAAAAAGGGAATAATAGTAATAATAATAATAGCAATTTGTCAATAGTACATGTAGAAAATTCTTAACATTAAGCCTTAAAATCATACTTATTATAAAACCCAGGCTGTGTGTGTGTGTGTGTGTGTGTGTATGTTTATATATTGGATCGGATTTCCTACATTTTTCAACCGATTTCAACAAAACTTCACAGGACTGCGTCAAATTACCTTGCAGTGGTTCTAACAGTGCCAAAAATTGGAAAAACACAATTGTTTTTGCACGAAATCAATTTAAAAACACGATTAAGAGGCATTAATTAAATTTATTTTTGATCTGACATTATTTCTCATTACTGAAATATTATATTTTAGTGTATATATGTATTTCAGTAGACATCCTGTTTTTTTTTTTTTTTAATCAGTATGAATTACATCTACTGGCTTGTGTATTTGAGAGTCTTAATAAAGAAAATGTTCAGTCTGGCAGAGCTCAAACCTATATCCCCCTTTGTCGGTGAAACAACAATTTGATCCGGTGTGCTTTAGACTGCTCAGCCACAGAGAGCTCCACAGCTTGTAAATGTTATTCACACTGTTTAAAAAATTACAGAGCATTTACTCAAACATGCTTATCCACTAAAATACAATGTTTAAGTAATTAAAACATTGAAATTGGTGTGCATCTTATACACCCATGAGTCTTATATGTCGTCAAATATGGTAACTGATATATTTTACATATTACACCAGTTGACATTTTTTTACCCAAATGTTGTTGGGCAATGGTCACATGTTTCTGGGCTACTTTTCACATGGCTTTACTATGCAAATGACATAGTTAAAACATTTCGTTTCATGTTAAAATGATTTCTCTGAAGAAAAAATATCTAAATAACTTTCAAAATGAATTCTAAGCTATTTCAGTTCAGATAAGCCGACCTGAAAATACTTGATTTTATGAGAGATATCTCACTGGAAAATTTTCTTTGCCCTCAATGTTCTTAGCTTATGAAAACTTTGTGATTTGTGTTTCTTCTCTACTTTTCATAGAAGAAGCTCTTTAGAAGTCATTCAAGATCAGCGATTTTAGTTTTTATTAGTAGTTTTCACTTTAAGCCTGAAACTGACATAAGATTTTATCATAGCACTTGAATTTATGGAGGTCTGGTATTGTCATGCAGTCTCTGTATAGCATACATAGGAACATCAATAAATGCAGGTTGTTAGGGTGTTAGGCAAGTGTATTTGAGACTAGCAAGATTAGAATTTTCTTTCAGTACTTAAAATAGCCACCAAACACCAGATAGGCATAACCAACTAGGCACTTTGCAGATGGGATGTTAACATGATGGTTAATTTCTGCTGGAGCATCAAAAGAGATCAACCATTTCAAAAGCACCGTAGAGTTTCCAAGAAGAGAAGATTTATACCTTTGGATGGAGAAAAAGGAATGTATTTTTCATTCTTTGTCTGTTTTGATTCAAAAATTGATAACACATGTTTGCCTTAATTTTGTGTGAGATTTTTCTGAAAACTTTTTCTGAACTGAAAATGCTGAAAATGCACTCTTTAAGTTATTGGGATACTTTTTCTTTTATGATAAGTAATTCTAACCTGAAGATGTTTAAAGTTGGTTGTACTTGGCTCTGGCATATCACTGTTAAATGGGTATTTTGGCCTATTTTAAGCAAAATAGAAATTATCTGTACTGAGAAAATGTGATAGGAAAAATGGACTTTAAGATTCAGCATGAAAAAATAACCCAGAAACATGTGCCCATTGCCCAACAACATTTAGGTTGAAAAAAATGTTGACTCGTGTTTTCTAAATTTGTTGACATTTACTTTCGAAATTGGGAGATTATACATTGGTCTAAACTGGAAACAAACTTTACAGCACCACAATACATATTCAGGTTTTTTTGTGAGAATCCTCTGGAAAAGTCCATAACTGATTCCAGACATATTGGAGAGGTGATGGATTATTCAGTAACAGTCCTCATGGAGAAGTTGCCAAATTTCTTTCTGTTTTCTGGTGTTTTGTTGGTAATTGATCACTCTGAATGGTCATCATCTTCAAGTGACATTTGTCTGGCTTTAAGATTTGGCTATCACTTTAGAGACATCATAAGATATAATGAAAACATAAATTATATTTAAAGATCAAAACAAGAAGAAATTTGAAGATTTTAATAAAAATAGGCTTTTTAGTTTAAGATCTTTGGGTTTTGAATAAAGAGAAGGAAATTATTAATTTCAGATAATTTTCAGTAAAAGCCTTTCATTTTTAGATAAATACTACTACTACTATGGAAGCATGGTGGAGTAATGGATAGTGGCTCAGATTGAGGAATCGGAGAACCGAGTTTGAAATTCTAGTTGAATTCATTACATTCACTTATGTGCTAATAACCTTGGGAAAGGTATGAACCCTCTTCTTCCCCTCCTCCCAGCTATGGGTAAATAGCAGGACAGATTGGGTTTTATAGCCTTGGGTGGTAACTGGTCTAGCTGAATTAAAAACTGAATATAGACCTGGTGATATATATATATATATATATATATATATATATATATAAGCAAGTGTAAATGGATATAAATCCGACAGAATGAAGAAATTTTGAAAAAACAAACAAAAATCCTTAAATCATCAGCGCAAAATGACACCTCAAAGGCCACTACAACTAGATCAATGAAAGATACAATTTCAGCTGCCTCTGATAATATTTCGTTTGGTTGTATCTTTTTACCAAATAACCATTTGACCGAACGTATCTCTCATAATCTAAATGCATTAAATATTAGAACTACTATATTACCTACTAGGACTATCCGTAGTTTATTAAATAGCACCAGCAGACAACATATTACATCCGATGCTTGCATCTATCAAATATCATGCAAAAATTGTGACCTAAAATATGTGGGAGAAACAGGTAGGTCCTTAAAATCTCGTGTTTTCGAACATAAACGAGATATTCGTCTCGGTAATTTTAACAATGCTTTAGTTGTACACACAACTAAAGCAGATCATAATTTCGATTTCGTGAAAGTATTAAAATATTTTCATAATAAAAATCTCAGGAGGATTTATGAAGCAGGTATAATATCCATCTCACGCACGGTGAATACTAGACCTGGTTTCTTTAATATTTCCCCTTTTTTAGCAAGATTGATGCTTGACAAGCATACACATAAGAATTTTAGAACCTAATAGAATTCTTTTCATTTTCTTTTTCATTTCAAAATAATCACTTTTAGGAATACGTTATGAAAAGCGTCGCCCATGTGACGACGGCGTGACCATGTTAGACGGAAGGCTGATCATTTTAAAAATTTTCAGTTATCTGTTCTGAATAAGACTTGTGTTTTTATGTCCATCGTATTTGTCATATTGAACTGAATTGTATTTTGATGAATATTGTCTTGAAAAAGGTTTATTAAACCGAAACGTCAGACGTCGACATTTCTTTCATTTTAACTACATTTAAGGATTTTTGTTTGTTTTTTCAAAATTTCTTCATATATATATATATATATATATATCATAAAGAAGTAATTATGCAAAGAATTAATTAGCAATGTTAATGTGATTAATAGTGAAATCCCTTCACTAAAAGCTAAGACTTAATGAGACATTAACTTACTATTAATCCCTTGAATAAAGTGATCCTTGTATTTGAATTGTTGAGCAGATTGAATTAATGATCCTGTGTCTAGTACTTTTGACAATTTCAAATTGTCATCTTCAGAGTGTAATATTTCCATTTACAGGAAAACTCCAAGAAAAAATAAATGTAGTGTAGACTAAAAAATGTTTTTAAAAATATGATATTTATTGACAGTTATATTATTTTGGAACGTGCGATGTCTCAACACTAGAGTCCTTGTTTAAATGATTCAAGTGAGAATTTTGTTTGAAGTTAGTAATGTAATAAATCCACAAATTTTTTTCGTTGTATGCATTTTTCAGTTAAATTGATATGGACTAAATTGTAGTTCAGTTAATAGAATAAAATATCTCAGTAGTTTTTTTTCACAGTACTTTAGATTCTGAATGTACTGCAAATCTAATTTTTTGTAAATATATCAATTTGTGCAGTATATATATATCATAAAGAAGTAATTATACAGAGAATTAATTAGCAATGTTAATGTGATTAATGTTGAAATCCCTTCATTAAAAATACTTTTCTGTTTGATATGACTCTATATTTCTATATATATTGATAAACAATGAAAATAAAAATATTGTCTTTCATTCAGAATGAAAGGAGAAAAACTTTATAAAAAACAAGAAAATGAAAATATAAATAAACTAGCAAAACTATCCTAATTTTAAACACACTTCAACAAATGGAGGAATATGAAACAACAACTTCACAGCATGGGAAATTTTGCACAATTTTTCAAGCAGAAAAAACTCTCAAAAAATGTTCATCATTTATTCAATAGTTTGGCCTTTGTTGTTACATTAATGTTCTCAAAACATGAGAGATCTTGTGTATTCCCTTTATTAATTTTTTAATCAATTTTGGTGAATTTCCTGTCAAAAAGATGTTCAATTATGTTTGATTCCTAAAGAACAAATATGGTCGACATATCAAATCCCTTTTGTAAACAATTGTTATCAACACCTGCCTATTTTTTGTTTTATTATCTATTGTGTATTTGCAATTTTGCTGTTTCAAATATGAGTTCTTTTTTTAAGCTGAGTAAAAATTTCTTGTGTATAATACGACTCCACCTTTTTACTTTTAATTTTCGTCCAAAATTTCTTGTATTATGGACAAGAAAATATGGTAGCTGCAAATGCATTTCTGTTCAATCAATATACAGACAACATCTTTTGGTGCCATTATCATGTTGAGATCTAAATAATTTAATAAAATCAAGCTTTAGCAGATGGAAAAAAAAGGGGAGGAAGATCTACTTCACTACTTCCGATGCATAATGGCAAAGAAGGAAATTGACAAAACTTACCACATATATGGTTCCAAAGAAGAAAAATCTAGCCGTCCGTATTATATCATAGTCTTTTTTCTTGCCTTCAATATAAACCTGGGCAAGAGCATCTCCCATGCTCATTAAGGTAGCTGTAATCAAATGAAGAAGGAAAATATTGTTCAGTAAGTTAATTATCAATGAAAAAGTGAAATTTAAAGTCAGTTTAACCTATTGTACTTCATAACAAATCATAAATAAAAAAAACAAGAGAGGATGATAGCATCTTTTATGATACTGAACAGATTGCCAAACTATTGATTGTATAAAATTTTTATGGTAGACACGTAAAATTAACTAGTTTCTTAGTACGACTACAGTTATTATAAAGAAATAAACATAAGTGAATCAGAAAGTTAAAACTCAAGTGAGAAATAATAAGTATCAATCCAATTGCACAGGAAAAATGTATGTATATTTATTATGATTAACATGCCCTGGACATAACTTATTTATTAAATCTCTTAATTTTATCTTAACTAGGTCTGATATCTCATGGCTTCCATTTGTATCTTTACATCTTTTAATCTTATCTTAGCTAGGTCAGAAGTCTATGAGCTTCCATTTTTATCTTTATATGTCTTAATCTTATCTTGGCTAGGTCAGAAGTCTATGAGCTTCCATTTTTATCTTTATATGTCTTAATCTTATCTTGGCTAGGTCAGAAGTCTATGAGCTTCCATTTTTATCTTTATATGTCTTAATCTTATCTTGGCTAGGTCAGAAGTCTATGAGCTTCCATTTTTATCTTTATATGTCTTAATCTTATCTTGGCTAGGTCAGAAGTCTATGAGCTTCCATTTTTATCTTTATATGTCTTAATCTTATCTTGGCTAGGTCAGAAGTCTATGAGCTTCCATTTTTATCTTTATATGTCTTAATCTTATCTTGACTAGGTCAGGAGTCTATGAGCTTCCATTTTTATCTTTATATGTCCTAATATTATCTTGGCTAGGTCTGAAGTTTCTTGGCTTCCATTTATTTCTTTACATCTATTAATTTCATCATGGATAGGTTGGAAGTCTATGAGCTCTCATCTTTTCTTTAAAACTGTTACTTCTACGTTAGGTCTGAAGTTTTATAGCTTCTATTTTTTTTTTTTTTTTACATCTTTTAATCTAATCTTGTCAAGATGTGAAATGTCTGGTCATCCATTTATTTCTTTATATTTCTTAATCTTATCTTGCCTTGGTCAGAAGTCAATGAGCTTTCATTTTTTTTTTTATATCTGTTAATCTTGGCTAAATCAGATGTTTATGTGCATCCATTTTTTTCATTATATCTGTTAATCTTGTCTAGGTTGAAAATCTTTGAGCTTTAATCCATTTCTTTAAATCTTGTCATGGCTAGGTGTAAAATCTGTGGCCTACAATTTTTTCTTTATATCTATTTAATCTTATCTTGTCTAGGTTGGAAGTCTATGACCTTCCATTTATTTCTTTATATTTGTTAATCTTATCTTGTCTAGGTTGGAAGTCTATGACCTTCCATTTATTTCTTTATATCTATTTAATCTTATCTTGTCTAGGTTGGAAGTCTATGACCTTCCATTTATTTCTTTATATTTGTTAATCTTATCTTGTCTAGGTTGGAAGTCTATGACCTTCCATTTATTTCTTTATATTTGTTAATCTTATCTTGTCTAGGTTGGAAGTCTATGACCTTCCATTTATTTCTTTATATCTATTTAATCTTATCTTGTCTAGGTTGGAAGTCTATGACCTTCCATTTATTTCTTTATATCTATTTAATCTTATCTTGTCTAGGTTGGAAGTCTATGACCTTCCATTTATTTCTTTATATTTGTTAATCTTATCTTGTCTAGGTTGGAAGTCTATGACCTTCCATTTATTTTTTATATTTGTTAATCTTATCTTGTCTAGGTTGGAAGTCTATGACCTTCCATTTATTTCTTTATATCTATTTAATCTTATCTTGTCTAGGTTGGAAGTCTATGACCTTCCATTTATTTCTTATCTTTTATATTTCCATTAATTTCTTATTTGTTTGTCTAGGTTGAAGTCTATGACCTTCCATTTATTTCTTTATATTTGTTAATCTTATCTTGTCTAGGTTGGAAGTCTATGACCTTCCATTTATTTCTTTATATCTATTTAATCTTATCTTGTCTAGGTTGGAAGTCTATTTGACCTTCCATTTATTTCTTTTATATCTATTTAATCTTATATTTGTCTATCTTGTCTAGGTTGGAAGTCTATGACCTTCCATTTATTTCTTTATATTATTTAATCTTATCTTGTCTAGGTTGGTCTAAGACCTTCCATTTATTTCTTTTATATTTGTTAATCTTATCTTGTCCATTTATTTCATTTATTTTTATATTTGTTAATCTTATCTTGTCTAGGTTGAAGTCTATGACCTTCCATTTATTTCTTTATATCTATTTAATCTTATCTTGTCTAGGTTGGAAGTCTATGACCTTCCATTTATTTCTTTTATCTTATCTTGTCTATTTGTTAATTTCTTTATCTTTAATCTTGTCTAGGTTGGAAGTCTATGGGTTTTATATTTGTTAATCTTTCTTCTTGTCTAGGTTGGAATTTCTTTATATAACCTAGGTTTCCATTTATTTTCTTTATATCTATTTAATCTTATCTTGTCTAGGTTGGAAGTCTATGACCTTCCATTTATTTCTTTATATTTGTTAATCTTATCTTGTCTAGGTTGGAAGTCTATGACCTTCCATTTATTTCTTTATATTTGTTAATCTTATCTTGTCTAGGTTGGAAGTCTATGAGTTTCAATTTTTCATTATATCTCTTTATCTTATCTTGGCTTGGGTGGAAATTTTTGAGTTTTCTTTTTTATCTTTACATGTCTTCATCCTATCCTGACTAGAATGGGAGTCTATGAGTTGCCATTTTTTTTTCTTTAAAACATACTCCTATTTAAGTTAGTCCTGAAATTGCTTAACTTCCATTTATTTCTTTACATCTTTTAATCTAATCTTGTCAAGATCTGAAGTGTCTGGGTTTCCATTTATTTCTTTCTAACTCTTAATCTTATCTTGGCTAAGATGAAAGTCTATATACACCCATAGTATTCTTTATATCTTTTAATCTTATCTTGGCTAAGTTGGAAATCACTAGGATGAAACTGGTCTCTTTATATTTATTAATCTTATTTTGACTAGGTCAGAAGTAGTCTATGAGCTCCCATTTTTTTCTTTAAAACTGTTACTCCTATCTAAGTTTGGTCTGAAATTACATTAGTTCCATTTATTTATTTACATCTTTTAATCTGGAATTGACTAGGTCTGAAGTCTCTGACCTTCCATTGTTTTCTTTATATCTATTTAATCTTATCGTGTCTATGTGCTGCCATTTTTTCTTTATATCTGTTAATCTTAACTTGCCTAGATCTGAAGTCTATGAGCTATCATTTTCATCTTTATATGTCTTAATTCTATCCTAGCTAAATCTGAAGTTTCTTGGCATCCATTTATTTCTTTACATCTATTAATCTTATCTTGGCTAAGCCAGAATTCTGTGTGCATCAATTATTTCTTTATTATTTTAATCTTATCTTGGCTAACACGGAAGTCTATGTGCATCTATTTTTTTCTTTATATCTTTTAATCTTATCTTGGCTAGGTTGGAAGTTGATGTGCTGCCATTTTCTCTTTATCTGTTAATCTAAACTTGGCTAGATCAGAAGTTTATGAGCTTCCATTTTCTTCTTTATATGTCTTAATCTTATCTTGGCTAGATCTGAAGTCTATGAGCTTCCATTTTCTTCTTTATATGTCTTAATCTTATTTTGGCTAGGTCAGAAGTCTATGAGCTTCCATTTTTATCTTTATATGTCTTAATCTTATCTTGGCTAGATCTGAAGTCTATGAGCTTCCATTTTCTTCTTTATATGTCTTAATCTTATTTTGGCTAGGTCAGAAGTCTATGAGCTTCCATTTTTATCTTTATATGTCTTAATCTTATCTTGGCTAGATCTGAAGTCTATGAGCTTCCATTTTCTTCTTTATATGTCTTAATCTTATCTTAGCTACGTCAGAAGTCTATGAGCTTCCATTTTCTTCTTTATATGTCTTAATCTTATCTTGGCTAGATCTGAAGTTTCTTGGCTTCCATTTATTTTATTACATCTATTAATTTTATCTTGGCTAAGTCGGAAGTCTATGTGCATCAATTTTTTTCTTCATATCTATTTAATCTTATCTTGGCTAGGTTGAAAGTCTATGTTGTACCATTTTTTCTTTATATCCGTTAATCTTATCTTACCTTTGTCGAAAGTCTGTGAGCTTCAATTTTTTTCTTTACAAATGTTAATGTTATCCTGACATGACCTAAATAAGGCTGATGTAGTCCAAGATAGATTATTAAATCATTATAAGCCCATGTTTTATGATGGGGAAAAATAGAGAAAGAGAAAAAAAGACTTTCACTGTTTGAATGCTTTGAAGTGAAATGTTTTAAAAAGCTACAGAATAATTATAGGTTGATATAAAAATTCTATCATATTAACAAAATAAAAGAAAATGCATTCCTAATGTGTTTCCACTCCAAAATATTAAAAAAAATTCAAAAGAAATAAAATAAAAATCAAGTTTAAACACCAAATATAAGTGTTATTCTGAAATTTGTTGATCATTGGTATCTAACAAATTTGAAAGTGGATATTAACATAAACTATAAATACAGGGTGCGATGGATAAATTGTCGTCTAAGTTATGCAAAAATGAAAATAACACAGACATCTCATTTTAACAGATATATTTACCAAAATTACACAAAAATATCTTGAAATACTAAAGTTTGTTGGTCACTTGCTCAACTGTGCTTCACACAATATTCAGGTTTGCAGTCTGGAGAGTTAGGTGATCAGACGTAAGTTGTGATGTGCTTGCAGAAATTGTCTGACAGCCATGACTTGGTTTTTTTGTTTGTGTGGCATGGTGCAGAGTCCTGCTGCCAGTCATAGTCTTTCAGCAGCTACCCTCTTGACCCAGGGAAGTACTACCTCCGCAAGGCACTTCATGTAGGCCTCGGTATTGAGTCCCTCACCAATAAATCTGAGAGTTCTTTTCTTATCAGAACAATCAGAGTGAGTTTTCCAA